GAAAAACATTGATGTGTTTGTAAGTATGAAAGAACATCCTGGTTATCTTTATACAACCATGTCTCACAAAGTCCAACAATGTCATAATTGCCTAATTTATGTTTGAGTTCACCGTTGTCTATGTGGCGCGAAAAGCTTTGGCAATTCCAAGTGAAGATAGAGATTGTGTCTGTGTATACATATTGCGGTAGAGTATGGGTATATTCGATTTGACACTTACTTGGTTGCTATTTTCTATTTTTAGATTTTATTAGTTCGTTTGTCGACAGGTCAATTTCATAGGTATCTTTGTCAATAATTAATTTATCATATCGAAGGAAAGCTTTTTTCCCCTCCGTTTTTGCTTTTATGAGATGCGGGACTAGTGTTTTACGAATATTTCTAATGCGCTCAGTATAATCATCAGACACACTAATTTCCGACTCGGGTTTTTTGAACTCTTTTCGAGCAGTACTTATGACGAGTTCTTTATCTTTGAGGCTAGACATGACAAGGATTAACGGTCTTGGCCTAATGGCTGGTGTTTTCTTAGTTCCGATTCGATGAACACGTTCAATACAGAGAGCTCTTTTGTCGTGAGCACCGTCTATTTTGAGATTACTGAGCAGATCTCTTACTATTTGTTCACTGTCTTCGGGGTGATCACTTTCTGTGACGCCGTATATTATTATGTTCTTTTGTCGTGACCTATTTTCAATATTATCTAACTGAATTCTAATGTCCTCGTTTTCTGAAATCAAACTAGTTACATCGTCCCTAATTTTTGAAACTTCTTCCTTAATATTAAGTTCCTTCATTTCTGTCTTTATGTCTTTCACTTCATTTCTTAACGCCGAAATATCAGATTTTAAAGATTGGATCAATATTGTCAGTTCACTTATCTCATGACTCTCCACGTTTTTATTCGGTTGTTGTGGGGGATAGACAACCTGTCCAGTGGTTGAGATTTGTCCTTGTCTGGTTTGGGGGCCTGGGTTTGTTTCTACATCCCCTGCAAGGATTAGCAGTATTGTCAAAATTAATGTTGTAGAAAGAGAGAAAGTACCTGTGCTAAGAAACTTTGTTCTATGCTTCGTTGCCACCATTTTATGAAAATAAAGTCCTATTTGCATTCTCCAAACATCTATTCCGCCATCCATAGTAAGTATTATCCAAGTACTTCAAGTATTATTTATCGAAGAGAAAATATGTCCACAGTCACATTGGTAGATTTACAACATAATTTATAAAGGAAATTCGTCACACTTCATTAACTTTGACCGCTCTAGTTTACACGACCGTCCACTTCAACGTCTATATCGTTAGCATCATTAAGAATCTTTATGTTAATGTACACCGATGATAAAACCCTGTTTTCAGAAACACCAGAAGGTCTTCAAAAACTATTAGATTAACTGAATGATTACACACCTAGATGGAATTTGACTGTAAATGTCTCTAAAACTAAAATTGTCGTTTTTTGGAACGGAGGTAAATTACCAGGAAAAGATAAGTGCATTACAATGGTCTGAATATTGATACTGTCGACGAATTAAATTATTTAGGCCTGTTATTAGGGCTGACCAAGGTCGTAAAACTTGATACGCTATTTTAAAAACATGTAACGAGAATTACTTTAACATTGAAACTAAAATCTCTATATTTGACACATACGTGAACAGTGTTTTAAGCTATGGGTCTGAAATCTGTGGCTTCCATAAAGCGTCAGACGTAGAAAGAATTCACCGTTCATTTTGCAAAAACTCAAAAGTCATCGCCAATCCACAAATAATTGTATGATTTATTATGAACTTGGTCGTTATCCACTATATATTATTAGAAAAGTTAGAATATTCAAATACTTTATTAAGTTAGCTTCAACTACAAATGTATTGTTAAAATCATGTTTAAATGGGTTAATAAATTCTAATTGTACATGGATCTTAAATATAAAAAATGAATTGTTTAATATGGGTCTTGGTTATGTCTGGGAAGAAAATCTTTTCAATAAGCAGTCATTTATATTAATTAAGAGTTTTTGATATTTTTAAGCCAAATTGTTTTGAAAAAATTTCTTCATCTCCTAAAGGCTACTTGTACCAGTACTGTATTTTTTCATTTTTTCTCTTCAGTATTACTTACGTAAACCTATACATTTTAAATATATTAAAATATTGCAAAAATAAGACTATCTGCAAATAGTCTAAATGTAGAAATTGATAGGTACAAAAATATAAAAAGACAAAAAAGGTTCTGTGGATTATGCAACCTGGCAGAGATTGAAGACGAAACGCATCATATCCTAGTATGCCCCTTTTTTGGCGATATACTCAAACGATATATAAAACATTATTATTTTACAAATCTAAGTGTATATAAACTGATCCAGCTGTTAAAGGTCAATAATTTCAAAGAATTGTGTAACCTTGGTCTATTTTTAAATTTATCTTTTACAAAAAGAGTCAAACATTTAAAGAATTAAATAATCTGCCTTAATTAACCTACATTGTTCATCTCTCTACATTGTGCAAATTTAATAGTTTGTATATTGTAAAATATCTTGTAAATGTTTTTATATTTTGTATCTGATAAAATACTTTGAGCTTTGATTTGTGAGAACTGAACACTAGTAAACGTAACAAGCGATCAGCGTATTATCAAACTTGACTACTATACCTATGCAAGCAGCTGGGCCTTTGTTGAATTAAACAATGGTATGGTCAGTTAGAGACATTGTATTACACAAATTATCATAAGATTATCATCGTTTACCTATCACTGTCGCTCACATTATGTAGCAAAAGGTTTGACCCGCGGAGAAAAGATTTACACCGCGCAGAAAACGTTACACCGCGGAGAAAAGGTTTACACCCGGAGAAAAATTCACATCGCCAAGAAACCTTTATACAGCGGGGAAAAAGTTTTCACCGCGGAGAAAAGGTTTACATCGCGGAGAAAAGATTTAAACGGCGGAGAATAGGTTTACATCGCGAAGACATCGGATTACACAGCGGAAAAAAGTTGTATACCGCGGAGACATTGTTTACACAGCGAAGAAAACATTATACCGCGGAGAAAAGGTTTACACCGCGGGGAAAAGGTTTACACAACAGAGAAAAGGTTTTTCATATTTTTCATTGGTCCTATTTTTCACTGCGATTTCTCATATGAGGTAAATTTCAAGAAAAATGTATAATTCAACGAATGGCACTAAAATGCAACCGTAGTCTTGGCTTTATTCAACACCTCTCACTTTTACACATGCATCAACACACGTACCCCTTAACGTATTTATCAAATACATGTATAAACATATCTTACACTAGAGTCTGTCAGTGTCAGCTAGTGGTGTGAAAACTCGTGTGTGGTGGAGAGAGAGAGAGAGATTAACACCCACCACCCACTCCACACAAACTGGGTCATTTCGGGACTAACGTATGGTTCAATTTTAATTCAATGATTCGCTTGCTAGTAGGAGTCTTTAACAGCGGGAGAGGCTACACCACTTGACTCAATGACAGACCTTATGGTCCAAAGCGCACGCGTCAGTTCCCCCGCCCCATCCCACTCTCGTCATACATTCCTAATCTAATCTATAGATCTTCACAAAAATAAATCGCTAATGTTATTTTTTTAGGAAAGTAAAAAGCCTTTCGAAAATGCTTATTCAGTACATTCATTTTGCCTATATATAGCGCCTACTGGCCATCTCGGTTCAGAGTGGATCAATTTTATTGAATTTTTCAGCAAATTCCCTTGACATTATCTATTGTTTAACTGAGTTAGCGAGAACTGCCAGCCTTTTATCTAATCTCCCATAATTCAATTTTAAGCCAATTTCATAATAAGAAATATCAAATCGTATTCAGATTTTACTCGGGAATGCTAATGTATTAACGAAATAAGCGGAATAGGCCTTCTGTATTGCTCAAATGCCCTTTTCATACCCTTGGAGACTGAACTGTCTGGTCACACACCCTGTACTTCGCAATACAATATATTTATGCGAGGTTGTTTTCTGTCTGTACATAATTTACCACGCTTTCTAGAGAAATAAAATACACTGGATCTTACGCGACACCCACCAGTACTTCATATAACTGATGCTAGATCTATCTGACAAAGCCAAATGCATATTTCCGCAAGGTGACGAGATGTGAACAGGGTTAGGACACGTGATTGTTGCTAGGGTTGTGGGTTAGGGTTATCAAAGCTTCTTCAATAAACATCCACGCCGCTTGTTCAGCCCATTATATTTTGGAGTCATAAATGCGCAAATCTCTATTTCATGCTTTTGTCAAGTTATCTGTGATCCAGCGTATTGGACAAAACTAAACGAATAGTTTATGTGATGAACTTTCATGATATTTTAATTTTCTAAGTTTCCTGTCCAAATCGTGTAGAACTGATTTTATTGCATATCAGTAAAACTAAAACGTAGCGTAGTAGGTACATGTATTTAATATGTTTACATGTGAAATCCTAGACCCCCCCCCCCCACCCAACTCTCTAAATAAAAAGATACATTGTATCGGGAACCAGGCAAACACCCTCGTTGTGAAACAGTTTGCCCTGATCGAAGCCACAGCTCTTGGTTCAGTGATACACCATGTTCCTGAAGCAACGACTGTGGGTTTTACAACATCTGGACGTTGCTAGATTATTTAACAATTCCCGAACTTATAGCTACGTTATACACAGACATGTTAACAGTAGCGTCAAATCAGAGGTTGTGACATAGCGACCTCCGCGGAAACCTTGAAATTGAACGAACCTTGAACTTTGCGGCTAGATTATCACAGGTAATCATTTTAGCTTGAAAGCGTGAGACTTGGTATTCGCGACGATAGAGGAAGTTGGGCTTGTAACGAATCGGCATTTGTGCCGAAATATGCAGGGTATAACGCGAAGGCCTTGATAAGATGTACGTATACACCCGATGAGCCAAAGCCTAGGGCTCACGTTCGACCCACCGCCCTCGCAGCCTCTGTTTTGTATCAGTACAAACACAAATATTTAACATGATATTTTTTTATTTGGTCAAATTCCATAATATTTTAATAAAAATAAAAATTAGTATATTATAATACTAGGTGATAAAACTATGAAATAAAATATTAAAACTGTTAATTTTATTAAGTAGAATAATATCTCTCGGTTTTACTGTTCATGTATACTTCTGAATAAACACTTTACTTTAGCCTATTTAATGGCTAATTTAAAAACAAAATCAACGATGGATTGTCTCCCTTTAAATGACTTGAACTGATTTCAACACGTTTTAGCGTATGGGATACACACTATGGTGAACAACGCTATTCAGGGGAAGTAACTCCAAGGATAAAGATTATGACTCCTGTCACAAATTTTTAATATTGAGCTGTACAGCTGTATGTCCATTTACAAATTTACATTGTTTTGGGGTTTGTTATATATTTTTTAAAAAAAAATGTTTTTCAGAATACATTCGCGTTGTGATTAGTCTCGATAAATAACTAAATATACAAAATATAATATAAACCAATCACAAGCAATAAATATGATATCTCCTACTTCTATTGTCTAAACACAACTTCCGGTGAGTACACTCACTCGGGCTGAACATCAGCTAGGTTAAGTAGTTCTTTATTCATCTTAAAGGATTCATTGAAACATGCTTTTTAATTAATTCCATATGTACATAATATAATATACACTTGTTTGCCCTTCTGCGCCACGTGGATCACACCGAAAAATCCCGACGAATTTTCACGGCCAACGCATACAATACACAAGGACATGCCTATTTATTAATTACATTATAATACACAGCCACGGGTTTATTAATACACGAACTTAAAATAAAAAGCCGTTTAAATTTACAACATTCGAAAACTTACACTAATAAAATGGTATCCAAAGAAGCACTAGTATGACCAATAAATTTCTGATCGTTATGGAATGTGTTTTGTTTGGAATATTACAATTGCTTATCCTATTTATTTTGGAATTTGATATCACATCTTTGGGTTTCATTACAGTTCCGAGTAACATATGGTTCAATTTTATGTCATTAATTCTCTTACGCGCAGGGTTCTTTAGCAGTGGGAGGAAACCGGAAGACCCGGAGAAAACCCACGAGGTTGGACATGCGACCCTACTCCTTGTCACGTCTACATTCATAATGAAGTATGGAACTCAATATAATGGCGTCGTATTGATAAGAGATGAGCCTTGGCAGTTGGAATTGGGATAGCACGACAAACCGAGGTCCAGTGTACACATTGGCGTGCACGTAAAAGAATCCTTGACAGTTGGCATTTGATATTAGAGTAGGCCGTAGTGTGGCTGTCTGGGCAAAAATTCCCTCACAGCACACTGTATGGCGTATGACCGTTATAGCCCAGTCGGAACAGAACACTAGAACGTTAAACCCCATTTCGTCGGAACTGATAACTGGTAAAGAATTAGTTAGACAATATGTACAACTCAGAATGACTTACAAGATACATTATGTAAGAATTAGATTAATGTCTGACCGTTCTTAATGTTATAATAGTTAAAAAAAATAGATAATGAGTTAAAAAGTTCAATTACTTTATTCTAAGCGAAGCTATGTGTGCGTAAATAAATGTCTAAATATTAATTTGTATAACATTTGAAGCCTGCTATAGGTAGATTTAGATCTTACATAATGGACCTTTAATAATATAATCTTAAATAAATTGAAAAACGATAACTAGTATTCTTCGTTCACACCAGATACACGCGCTGTATTTACAATATATTGATATAAAGCTGTGGACTCAAACATACACGATTTCACATGAAATATAGAAAACACCCTCCTTCAATGTTAATAGGGAGGTTTATAGTTTCTCATGTGCTTAAACAGACAAGGCGGCATCTTGTTTGCCATATGTGGACATGCCGCTTTGCCCAAGCCACATCTTCATTTAATTCAAAGCACATTCGATGAAAACAATGTGGTCAAAGTAAAATCCAACCAGGAAATGGAGTTATACTGCGGCGTCCAGTGGGTTTGTTACCTGACCATAAGCTCACAATGGAAAGATCGCCTACACCAGGTATTCGTGAAAAGATAAACATCCTCTGCTACAAACATCACAAATATCTGACCATAATACAGTTTCGTATGTCCGAAATAGCCGAAATTCCGTACATCAATCACTGACGTCACTTTAGCCATAACAGTTAAATATAGGCCTATGTCATTCCATAACTTTCGTCATACTATCACTCACACGTCACTGATGTCATTTCAACCATAACAGTTAAATAGCAGACGGATCGTTTTATTGCTCACACGTCACTGATGTCATTTGACGTCATCTTAATATAGAAGTCATTTTAACAGTAATATATTGGCGGTATTGGCGTTATTTGATAAATATATTTATTTGTTCGTTATCTTAATACTAGCGCCATTTTATTGTTTACTTGTTTTGTTCGAGGACTGACATTTATGCTCACATGTTCGGATTATCTTCGTCCTGAGAATCCTGTATTTAGACATTTACAGCACCCCAACAACTTGATAGCCGTTATTTCGAATCTGTTTTCATCATCGTCATCGACATCGGTATTTTCTATCAGTGCTGTAAAACTCTCTATTATTCTCGTGCACGTACACCCGGTACATCCGGCTGCGCGTCTGAAATAAACATAATGTAGTACAACGTAAGCAATGTTTTCATTCACTGTTTACAACAAGTTGTCCTTATCGACCCCCCCCCCCCCCACACACCTAAACATTCTGTTGTTTTTATTAATAACATGAATCGCGATTTGTTTGGATTACAAGATGAGTTTTGACAAACATTATAGTATGTCGCGATTTTCCCCTTGTCGATTGTGTAGGATGGAGGGTATGACAAGGAATCACGTGTACCGTGTACAAATGAGCGTGCACGTAAAATACCCCTTGACAGTCGGAATTTAATTCCTGTCCGGGCCACAATGCCCCTTATAGAAAACTGCATTAGTTTGATTGAAGCAGAAAAGTAGGACGTTAAACCCCATTTCATGCATTCATTCATTCATTCGGAACCTAGGCCATTCTTGCCGAGGATACAGGGACCTGGCGGTATTTTATTATTGGACCACTTTACAGTTACTGTACTCGCTTTCGGGAATAGTAGGAAAATGCGGCCACCAATTTTGAGAAAATGTATCAGGGAAGTCCTCTTATTTCCCAACGTAGCGGCCATGAAACGAAATAATGAATACAATAAAAAAAAAACCGAAGATTAATATAGTACAAAGAGATGCTATCAATACATACTTGCAATCTTCTGTTCTGAAAAACTGTCGTCGATTGCCGTCAACAACCAATACTTTGATTAGGCCGTCTATACCTTCAGCGGTAGCTGGAGATTGGAAATACGTTTGCCTGAAAAAAGAGACATATGCGTTGTGTGAGGGTTTTAATAAAGCCACAGCAGAAGCTGGGGCTTAACGCCTGTTTCTATCGAGAGTGATATCGCAGATACATGTTTCCGAAGAAACTTGAGAGAAATGGGGGCTGGCCCCCGGATCCATTCATTTGATTTGATATTTGTTTATTTTTGCAATGTCTATTGTCTGTCTTGTCAGCAGGTTTATCTTGTAGATTTCTGTCTTGTGTGTAGTGCGGTCCTCCTGCATTTACAATTTGAGAGGGGGATCCCACGATTTTGACAACGGGCCCCACAGCTTTACATAAGTTGTTTGTTTCCATGACCGTTATTACCTGAACTAGAATATACAAGTCACAATTCTATGGAATGAAATTCAATTACTGTTTGGGGGGTTGGATGGCTGAATGGTTAGCGTGCGCGCGCTGTACCATAAAGTCTGTCATTGAGTCGACTGGCGTGGTTTCGAATCCCCGGTTGTACGTGGCAAGGAGTAGGGTCGCCTGTCCAACCTCGTGGGTTTTCTCCGGGTCCTCCGGTTTCCTCCCACTGCTAAAGACCCCTACGCGCAAGCGAATTATGTAAATAAAATTAAACCATATGTTAGTCCCGAAATGACCTAGTTTGTGTCGAGTGGACGTTAAACCCCATTTCTCTCTCTCTCTCAATCACTGTTTATTACTGAGCGACCTGTCCACTCTGCCTATCTCTAGTCTTTGCCATTGCGATTTGTGACCTGTGTAGCCTTATACAGCTAAGGACCTTCACCAAGTCCACATCAAGCACTGCCGAAATTATTGGCGTCATCGAAATGACCGTCGTATCATAACTAAAAGACATGTTTGATTATCGCGTATCCGATTCTATTTTTTCCGTTCTTTTTGTTTCCTGGACGATTTTCAATTCCGAATTCAGATACTCGAATCTACGAATCTGGTCTGAATTCGTCGGATTTAGAATGGCGGCTTCACTAGTCAACATTGTGTTAGTGTTAGTCGTCGTGGAAATTAAATCAGAATTTGAAACACGTGTCTACATCTCGAGATTTGGAGAGATAAATTTGTTATCTTTGGGGGATGAAACACGTCGTAATGGTGTAATACTTACGATTGACAGCATCCGTTAAACGATATGGGACCAAGCGTTACGCCGCCCGACGTTTGAAAACCCTGTGTTGGACCTGACTGTCTTGCAGGTGTTTCATTTAATGCTCTTTTGCAAAATATATTACAACTGGCGTTGTTGTAAACCGTTTGATTGGCAATTCTGGATTCTGTCTTTTGTCTTTCATATTCTTCCAGAGCGAACTTCTCCTGTTGTTCTGGGGTTCTAAAAAATCCGCGATATCTTTGGGGCACTTGTGTCTGGTTTCCACCTTCACATTTGTCATAACTAAAAAAATAGAAACTGACAATTATATTTACTGTTATGTGTTAATGGACTGGGGGTGGTGTTAGAGACGCCGTTACCGGCCTACTGGTATATAACAGTGGACTGGGAGAGGTTGATTGAGAGTACGATATTGTTTACCTACTGGTATATAACAGTGGACTGGGAGAGGTTGATTGAGAGTACGATATTGTTTACCTACTGGTGTATGCCAGTGGATGGGAACGATGTTAGAGGGAACGTTATTAAAATAATGAGATGAATTTGTCTTTTGTCGCCCTCGACTTGGCAAGGGTCACATACTTTTTAAACTCACATTTTCATCTTGAAGCGAGGGCTTTAACCAGAATGTGAACACTGGCATGTTACTTTCACAGTTAATCAAATTTTGATGTTATATCATAATTTTCCCCGCTATCAGTCATACACAAATTATTTTCCCAACTAGGCCTATGTTGTAAAACACTATACTGTTTAAAAGAGACAGGTTTTTATAATAAATTTTAATTATAGATATTATATACGTATAATTTCATTTTTATTTTAAAAGCTTATATTATGCATAGTTTTATTTATTTTTAATTTTAAAACCTTGAGATATTTGTTTTTATATTTTTATATGAATTTTTTGATATGTTTAACCCTGTCTCATATCTGACCATATGTTTGGTGCAATGGAGCCTGGTTTCAGCTGGTTGGCCTTAAAACTCCATTTCATTCATTCGTTCATTCATTGTTCCCCGCCTGCGTACGTAACTAACGTACGAAAATTAAATGGTATCTAGCTTTTTTTTCGCATGTATACAGTGAATGGCCATTTTGCTCAGTAATCCCAGCCAGAATTTGGCTATTTTTTTTAAAATTGCGTTAGAGTTTTTAATATTTGTTTAAAACTGAAATAAATTAACTATTAGTCAATCCCCACGCTAAAAACATTAACAGAATTGATTATGTATATCTGAAATAGACCCGACCGAAGCAGAAAATAGTCCCAAATATGGCGGGTTCATTGAACAACCATTCGCAGAAGCTGTAATTCTTCGTGTTGTCAATCGAATAGAATATTGATGTAACGCTGCTTTTCTGACAGTTTTAAATTCTCCCCCGACATTAATTGCAACAGATAGCGTTCCTCGTGTGTCAAATGTCCGGTAAATCTTGCTACCGTAATTCTATTAAAATCCCATTTTCATACGGTGATTTATTATTCAATCGAACTAAATGAGTTGTTTCCGTGTCATTGCACAGACAACCCTGATAAAACGTAGGTTTTCTCTTCGTCGAGGCCATTTATTTACTTTCGTTTGTTTGTTTACAGGCTGAGTTTCAGCTACAAAATGTAGTGCGTTGACCTCATGACCTGTGACGTTTAGATAACGTCATATGGGTATCATGGCTATTCACTGTGTCAGAGTCACTTCTCTGCAGGTAGGGTGGGTCTGTCGTTCAGATTGCCCCACCTGCTGATAGTTGACTGGGGGAGGGGGGGCAGAACGTTATTCCCGGCCCACTGACATATGACATTGGACTTGCTGACGGTGTTTGAAAGGACGTTATGCACGCACAGGCCTGCGTTAGTTCAATAAAAGAGAGCATGTTATTCCCGGATCCGTGATAGTTGAATGAAAGAGAGCATGTTATTCCCGGATCCGTGATAGTTGAATGAAAGAGAGCATGTTATTCCCGGATCCGTGATAGTTGAATGAAAGAGAGAACGCTAGTCCCGGATCCGTGATAGTTGAATGAAAGAGAGAACGTTATTACCGGATCCGTGATAGTTGAATGAAAGAGAGCATGTTATTCCCGGATCCGTGATAGTTGAATGAAAGAGAGAACGTTATTTCCTGGACTGTAATAGTTGAATGAAAGAGAGAACGTTATTACCGGTCCCGTGATAGTTGAATGAAAGAGAGAACATTATTTCCTGGCCTGTGATAGTTGAATGTTATTGTCCGAGCTTTGATAGTTGAATGAAAGAAAGAACATTATTGCCTGAGCACGGGTTTAAAGAGAACGTTTTTGGCAGCCTATGCTACTGGAATGGTGCTGACATAAGACAGCCCATTAGTCTCGTTATATTTTTATTGTTATATAATACTTACAATGAATGTCTCCATATAAAGGCTGCTAAAATCCCAACTGTTGTAAGAAAAAATAAAACTGTAAAAAATATCTGAAACAGACAAAGATATCTCATGTATTTAATACCAGGAAACAATACACACGAATATATATATATATATAAAAACAACTAGTCAGCCAAGGCAACAAATACGCCCACCAGCAGCTTCGTCGTTTCTATTGTAATAAGATTATTCATCCGAGGAATTAGGAGCTGCGGTAGCTCAGTGTGTAAGACGTAGGTTCGATGCCTGCGTTGGCCCAGAAAGTTCATCGGGGTTTTTTTTTCGAGCGGTTCTCCCTTTTCATTGGTGTATGTGACTGCATAGTCCTTCGGATGAGCCGAACCCCAGGGTCCCGTGTACACATTGGCGTTCAAGTAAAAGTAATCCAAAATAAGATTAGGCGGTACTATAGCCTATACCCATCTTCATTTATAGCCCAGTCGGAGCAAAACAGTAGGTCATTAAACCCCATTCTATTTCATGATGAACACGTCTGTCATTAAATTTGAGACAGAAAGGTGAAGAAATGGGGTTTAACGTCCACTAGACACAAACTAGGTCATTTCGAGACTAACATATTAGATCATTTTGGGACTAACATATTGTTTTATTTTATTTCAATAATTCGCTTGCCCGTAGGTCGCTTGCGCGTAGGTGTCTTTAGCAGTGTGAGGAAACAGGAGGACCCAGAGAAAGCCCACGGGGCTGTACAGGCAACCCTACTCCTTGTCAGGTACAACCGGGGGTTCAAAACCATGCCAGTTGACTAAATGACAGGCCTTATGATACAGCGCGCGCGTGTTAACCATTCGGCCCCCCACCTCCCCAACCCCCGGGATTCAAGATCGCGTGTTAGTTCCTGTAGGGTAATAACCGGGAAGGCAGGACCACAACCGAATTCGAGTGGTGTAATACCAGGAAGGTAGGACCACGAGTTAGTTCTCGAAGGGTAATAACAGGAAGTCCAAACCACATGTGAATTCGAGAATAATTACATTACTATTTGACCTACAATCGTACGTTAGATATGGTATTTCTACAGATGCGGCTAACTATGTACTTAACTATGTACACCGTGTAGAATGAATCAACTGTCGACGACATAAACGACCTGATGCGGGATTGTGGGCGTAGAAATACACTAACGCCATAAAGTGGTAATAAATCACGAACACGGTGACAATCGAAGGCCAATAATATAGATGAGAGGACTGACTTACCCACAGTCTGGATGATGAACAGCTTCTGGATTTCTGCGGTTTTTGAGGTTGTCGTTTATAATTCTTCTTGCCATCCATTAAACCAATTGTCCCCGTCTGTTCCTCAGCCTTCCTTCCAGAATCCGCCATTTCAACTTTTCTCTGAGACGGAGCTTGTGTCTGAGAAAATAAGAATAATAAAAATATAAATACGGATGTCGTAAGTTTAATTGGGGTAACTTGGCTCATTTTGTGACTAACTGGGTTAATTTATGACCATTCTAAATGATAGTTAAGGCAATTAATAAAAGTAATTTCTCTAGTCACAAGATGTTCTTTGTATCCTTACATCTATACTACAATATCCACATTGCCTCTGAAACCGATGTTGATATTTTGTTTCTTATAACATTTACATCAATCAGATTAAAACACATATCCTATTTCGTTTCGTTTTTTATAGTTGAAAATTTCGTTTTACTTGTCTTTACTACACTACGATCTGGAAGAGTTGTTGTGCTACCGGCGTTGTGGTTAAAGTGAGGGATTAGCCAATGAAACAGTATGTTACGGCGCATTCTTGGTGTGCCATGCACGGAACTGTGGGTAAACCACTAGAAACGTCAACGCTGATTGATTAATCAATGTCTGAAGTCATAGGGTCAAAAGCCTTCCGTATGACCTCTGACGCGACCGTCCAGTACGAAAGTATATAAAAACGAAACGAAATATAGATCTGTATTTTACTCAGATGGTAATAGCATTGTTTTCACTGAAGTGTTTCGATGCTTTTTATTTATGAATGATAATATTTGTAAAGTATGAACACAAAGCTATAAAAATACAACATAGTAAAAAGCATATAAATATCAATCAGAAAAGTCTTAAAACAATAAATATATGTTTTCAATTCTTTCTTTAAAAACAGCTATATTTATAGTGGCTAATGTGTAAATTAAAAGAAAGACCATTAAATATAATCTCGGTCAATTGTTTATTAACCAATTACAGGTTGGTAACAGTGATGATCATGAAGTCGCCGGGCCCTGGGGCAGTGTAGTGACATGATGAAACCATAGGAGGGTTGGGGTTGCCCACCACCATCCTGGCTTTAGGGGTCCTCCCTCAATTTTTGAAATTTCGGCCTGAAATGTTGGTCTGTGGAGTATGTCCGATGCCCCTTGGGATCGTCCTATCTAATAATTTCAAAACCCATCGAACAAAAGTCACCTTGTTTCACGACTTTTGGGAAATGGGTCTTCATTATTATTTTCTACAATATTTTTTTTTATCCCCATTAACCAGTTACAGGTTGGTATCTGTAATCTTAGAATTTATTAAAGCCACGTGTGTTGTTATATTCGAGAAGAAAAAGCCAGCAGTAATCTCCCCTTATTTTGCATGTTACTGGGTTATCTTAAAACATTAAAGCTGAACTCCGATTACAAAACTACAGAAATAATCAAATAAAAAAAATTAACACCCTAAATAATCGCCATACTTGTTTTCAAGTTGTCGAACAATCATGGACGATTGTACGGCGTACAAAAACAAGAGGCAGGCCACGCCCACACCCAGTTCACGCCTGTCAGCCACACTGTCCACATCCGGCTAACAATATTTCAGCTGACTGATTGACGTTTTTTCACTAACAGTTTACTTAAAGTATTATTGCTACCTAATTATTATATCTGATCGGGTACATATTATTTTACTAATTAGACGAAATAAGTAAACCACGGTAGACAGTGGACATTGTGGTTGACAAGGCATGAACTGGGTGTGGGCGTGGCCTGCCTCTTGTTTTTGTACGCCGTACAATCGTCCATGATTTTTCTACAACTTGAAAACAAGTATGGCGATTATTTAGGGTGTTAATTTTTTTTTATTTGATTATTTCTGTAGTTTTGTAATCGGAGTTCAGCTTTAACACACGGCGTGCCATTGTTCTATATTCATTTAACACCCTTTTAAAATTAAACAAGAAATATCTCGATTTGTCATCGAAAAAAGTACCCATACTGTCACATGATTAATTCAGCCTAGTTTTGTTCTTAAACAAATTAACAAATCTAATTGCCTTGAGATTTTTTGAGCGTCACTGGGGAATCTAACAACTCGGCACTCTAATCTGGAAAAAGTCTCCAATTCGATAAGTTTCTATTAAATGTCCCCCTTAAAAAACCTACAGTTTACTACTGGAAACTTATAATAACAATTATCTACATACACTTACAGGACCGCGGATAACCGACTAGTACCTTATGCTACTAAGTCGGATAGACCTAAAAGACTAACGTATCAAGTACAATCACATATTTATATGGAATTACTTCTAATCACTTGGCAAGATCAAGTGTTGACATAAATAAGCATTGATGTAATAATATACAATATAAGAAATAAAACAATGGTAAATAAAACAATTAATAGATTAACCATACGATTGGTATGTTCACGAGACCGGCTATATAATTAGCAGTTACTTTGTGTCTGTAAAAGTTTTATAAAAAATAAGGGATTATAACAATTTAGCATGTCATTAGCATTACATAACATTTCATCATTGTCTAGTCACCTTTCAATAGCAGACCTAAATTAATGTTTTGAAGGAATGGAATAGTTATTGTCATAAAGTCTGTGATTGAGTCAGCTGGCGTGGTTTCGATTCCCCGGTGGTACGTGACAAGGAGTATGGTCGCCTGTTTAACCTCGTTTGTTTTCTCCGGGTCCTCCGGTTTACTCCCACTGCTAAAGACCCCTACGCGCAAGCGAATTATTGAAATAAAATTAAACTCTCTCTCTCTCTCTCTCTCTCTCTCTCTCTCTCTCTCTCACTCTCTCTGTTATTTCGTTTTAATTTTTATATTTCACAGTCATTGTCCTCTGTTATGACGTAACGTTATTGTAACAGCATAGTAACGCATTAAAATGGCCTGACGATTCGTTTGATAACGATGAAAGTACTAGTCAAAATTTTATTTTTTAGTGTTTTTTCTCTAATACTTGAATTTTACTTTGAACGATGGAATTCGAGTAATATTTCCTCATAATACACTGCATTATAGCACACTGCATGGAGTATGTCTATCTGCGTTACTCAGACTGGACGTTGTTAAACTCGATTTCATTTCAACAACACTGTTTCCTATCTCTACATCTATAAATACAACACATTTCACTAAGCCATCGATACTGTGTCGCCAATCCTACATGCTTCAAGTATAACAAGATGTCGGTCAAATTGTCTGATTGAAAAATGTGTCGACAGGGCTTAAGAATTTACAGAGGCCTAAGATGTTAATCTGGTGACCTCTTGGGACAAGTATACACACTGCACCGTGTTTGGGTTCGTGACGATTGAACAAGGCAAGTTAAGATGTATTTAATAATATGTTTAATTACCATGGGATTGTCCACACTGTATCCACCTATAGCTACATATAAAAACACGAGTAACTCACTTTTAGCCAGACACCATGAGTTCATTACCCTTGTTGTTTAAATGTTCCGATTCAAATTATGGCTGATTAAAGGACAATATTGGTGTCAGTCATTATCACATAAGTAATAGAACTAATTAAACACGTTCCAAATTTAATTTTAACACAGAGATCATTGCTACGATAGCTGAGTAATACAGAGAGAGAGAGAGAGAGAGAGAGAGAGAGATGAGGTTTAAAGTCCACTCGACACAAACTAGGTCATTTCGGGACTAACATATGGTTCAATTTTATTTCAATAATTCGCTTGCGCGTAGGGGTCTTTAGCAGTGGGAGGAAACCGGAGCGGAGGACCCGGAGAAAACCTACGAGGTTGGACAGGCGACCCTACTCCTTACTACGTACAACCGGGGATTCGAAACCACGCCAGTTGACTCAATGACAGACTTTATGATACAGCGCGCACGTTCTAACCATTCAGCCATCCAACCCCCCCCCCCCCATAGTAATACAGGTTTCCTGAATCGGAAGTGACGAACGCCAAAGGAAAACACGAGTCATACCTCTATATAACTGACTGATGTGACGAGTGATAACAGATACACGGCCGAATTTCTGCACACTAATAATTCCTTCCAAGACCAAAAGTTGTTTTTAGGGAAGATAATGAAAACGGAGTATGTTGAAAATTCCAGTAAAATTACATCATTCTGAGTCGAGTTATCGGCGATACAATTACAGTGTAGCCTCGATTGTAATTGTTACCTTTGTTAGGATAATAAACAAAGTCTCGATTATCCATTTTTCAATTAAATTATTCACTGGCAATCGTGTTTAAATCCGGTGAAAATCAAACCCATCCGATGATGTAGAGAGTTGATTATGAGCAGGTCGTGATAATAAATATCTATTTAATGATTTATATAACATTTGAGGCTAAATGAAAGATCTACATTAGGCAGATTTAGCTCTTATAACATAATGTATATTAGTTTAAATTAAGAACTGATTTTTGATTTGTTTCTATTATAATATGAAAACATACCCCAAGCGACAGGCGACATAATCCTCGACGCGTATTATCATGTTTGGTGCATGACGTCATGCTCTACATGACCGAATCAACCAGGAAAACTTCATTCTGGCTTCAAAGTACAGTATATGAAGTGCTTTAAAACATCTATAAATTTAATCAAACTTGTATTTCCGTTAAATATGACTGTTGGGCTAGACTTTAGACTCCAACCGATTGACGAATGGATAGTTAACATCCGGGTTATCTCAGGTAGGGTATTTAGTTTTAAAAACGAAATGAAATGGGGTTTAACGTCCTAGATTTCTGAGACCTCGGTTTTTGGTCCCATCTGGTTGACTATACATTGTCCCTTGCCAGGCCTTCCGTTCTGCACCAGTGACAAGTGGGAACTACGCCGGATGAACTTTCTCGGTCAACGCAAGGGTCGAACACGGATCTCCAGGTTAGCGAGCAAACGTTTTTACACACTGAGCCACCGTGGCGCCTGTTTTAAAAACAGATTACTCTGTCTCGCTTTTCTCTTTTTACCTTTGGGGAAGGGGTGGAGGGTGATGGCGGGGTGAGGATATAAAGGGCGGGGGAGAAGGGTTATAAAGGAGCATAGGGTGGGAGCAAAGCAGGAGGGGGTCGAATTGCAGTAGCCTTTATAAATGATACCCTTTACTTTTTGCTTATTTTACAAATCAACGTTCATAATAAATATTCCACGAATATAATTAAATCATCTATGGTTAGTGTGTGCGCGTTGCATCATAAGGTCTGACATTGAGTCAACTGGTGTGGTTTTGATTCACCGGTTATACGTGGTTTCCTTACACTGCTAAAGCGAATTATTGAAATAAAATTGAACCATATCCATATGTTAGTCCCGAAATGACCTAGTTTGACGATAAACCCCCCACCCCTCTCTCTCTCTCTCTCTTTCTCTTTCTCTCTCTCTCCCTCTCTTCACATATAGTGGGTACTCAACGTAAGTTTAAAGATAGTAAAATAAGCTAGAACTGAAATATCTTGTAAAATACAACAATTTGAGAAATTAAATATAAATTTGCAGATAGTCGATGACTATGTATGATGGGACTCACCCCACCCCACTATTCCCATACCTCCTCCCCCTACCCTGCACAGACATAAACCATTAATAAAAAAACCCAAACATCCTCAAAGATAAGAAAGAAATCAAAAGTTTTGGAAGTCGCGTTTGGCTTCGGTAGTTGCTCCAAAAATTGTATATTTTGCACGTGTTGACCCCCCTCCCCACTCCTCTCCCGGAATTCAAACCCTCACTACGCCACTGTACGGTCATGGTCGACGAAATATATTTATTTTACTACTTGGAAGAACTATTTTCACAGATTATAATGTTTAACAAAGTGTGAAAAATAGGCACAACAAAATATTCCAGACAGCCCCGGTCGCTTCTTCGAAGATATCGATCAGATTGTTTTGTATATTTCTTCTTACCATCTGCTGCAAGCAAAATATCTGTAAGGTCCTTTAAAGCCCGGGGGGGGGGGGGGTGGATGGCTGAATGGTTAGCGTGCGCGCGCTGTATCATAAAGTCTGTCATTGAGTCGACTGGTGTGGTTTCGGTCGCCTGTCCAACCTCGTGGGTTTTCTCCGGGTCCTCCGGTTTCCTCCCACTGCTAAAGACCCCTATGCGCAAGCGAATTATTGAAATAAAATAAAACCATATGTTAGTCCCGAAATAACCTAGTTTGTGTCGAGTGGACGTTAATCCCCATTTCTCTCTCTCTCGCTCCCCTTTAAAGCCCAGTAGCCATACAAGCTATGCTGTTCCTTAATCCTTCCAACTCTTGAACAAAATATTGGTTACAAAATTAAAAATTTAATTTATCCAGAAATGAATACAAAATGTTACCCCTATAATATGAAAAAGTTTTTATTTTGTATGGAATCAAATCTGTGATTCACAGTTGGAGTCAAAAACAATGTCCATAGGCTGAAAATTAATAAGGTTTTTTTTTTTACCTCTATAGCGTTATTCTGATTTCCATTTTGACGGGGTGTTGATAGCGTCGTTGTAGTGGTTGTGGCAGCCGTCGACATTATGACTGGATATAAGACGCCCTGGTTGATCTGAATATTAGCATCACCCATTTTTGATTATTATAATTTTAGAAAAGAAAAAATCTGTTCATATACTAACAAGATATAGTTCGACTAATTACTTTGCTGTCTCGCTTGACTATGATCATTTATTCGATATATACTCAATTTAAATGGTTATAAGGGGAATCCGTAAAATCTATAAATAACTTGGTTCCGCTTTTTAATTGTTTACGTTTGCTGCAACGTTTATGATACGTATTATATGTATCACGCGAACGTCACACGTGGAATGATGGTGTCTTGAAAAGTATTACACATCTGAGAAACACATGTCCAAATATAGAAAACACGTGATGAAACGTCACCTGACAGCATCACGTCGTCGTATAATATAAATATATTATTCACAAATCAGTCTATGTATTATCCCCTCATCTCATCCGGGTTTAATTGGGAAAATAAAAACAACCATAAATATTAAAAACAACGCATAGAAACATTACCATGCAATGTGGTGCAATACCAGCCAGTTGTAAGACCTTTATATAGTAACTTTACCGAAAATTTACATGGTTGAAACGGTTGTTGCTACACCCAAAAACACAAAGCAACCTCTCACTCCCAAAATAATGTTACAGATCAATGGTCATTACTCTTTTCAAACCGCCCACTATATAAGACACTGTTTATAATTTATCTTATAAAACACTTTTTTTCACAGTTAATTTAATGATTAGGATTTTTCGTTTCGATTCAGCTATTCATACCGTGAGAAAACGATGTATCGCTAAACATATTCACCAAAATATTATTCTAAGTATTCAAATAACACTTCAAAAACTCTTCCACCGAGATTTAAATACACCCTTGTGCTATGTGAATTAATGAATTCCATTAATGATTAAAACTCATTATCATTTCATTTAAAAAAATGAGTTTTGATTAAAACTGAGTTTTATGCTATTCACTCACGGTATGAACTCGACTAGCCGTGAACGCAAACTGTCTAAGTGAAAACTACTGGAAGACACAGCCTATTAGACACGGACGTTAGAATATCTTACTGATCTACATTGACAGTTATCGGAGAACGTGTAAATAGCTCACTAGATATAGATATATTTATATAGGAAGATTCGTCAGTCGCCATGTTGACTTATCTTAACTTGAGGTACACGTTCTTTATATCACTCTCTAGAAGTTCTTACAGACACGTGCTTGCTACATTCTTCCATTCTTTGTCACAGCACGTCAGTGCATGATAAAACACGCTATATAAGATATTTAGCCTTTTTTATATCAAGAAAAAACCCCAAAACAAAACAAAACAAATAAAAAACCAAATAGGTATAAATGCTAACATGCATCAAGGATAGGATGTCCGCGATATCAATATTGGGGTAGAAGACGTAAAACCACAAGCTACTACTACTATTAGGAACACTTAATGTTTTTCAGCTACAGAACATTATACAGGTGACAATTCTATAGAATACAATTACTGCTTATTACTGAGAGACGTTTCGACTAGTCTTCTCTAGTCATTATCAAGCAATTTCAAAACAGACCCGTCTTTAAGTAGGACTTTGACCCGATTTATGAACCCTGTTGATGTACAAAAGTGATACTTTAATCCAATTTCAAATCCCAGAAAAATATTCACTATAACATATGTTGTTATTGTGTTCAATATAACCATCCAAACCAAAAATAGTTCAATGGGACGTTTGAGTGTAATACATTACATTTAATTCAATTGAATTGAGTAAATATTTGAATATCTATAGAGCTGTAGAAATGGGCGGTTTTCTAAACATTTATAGTCCTTACAAAACGACATTTAATGGGGATAACATCCTATTTTTACCTTTCTGCGGGGGGGTTGGATGGCAGAATGGTTAGCATGTGCGCGCTGTATCATAAGGTCTGTCATTGAGTCAAATGGCGTGGTTTCGATACGATCAACACGATTGCTACGACTGACCACAATATATGAAATGAAATGAAATGGGGTTTTACGTCCTACTGTTCTGCTCCTAAACTGGGCTAATGAAGACGGGCATACGCCATACAGTTTGCTATGAGGGAAATTTTGCCCGGGCAGCGGCACTACGGGCTACTCTTATATCGAATTCCAACTGCCAATGGATCTTTTACGTGCACGCCAATGTGTACACGGGTTCTCGTTTTTTTGTCCCATCCGAACGACTAGACAGCTGTCCTTGTCAGGCCGTCCGTCCTGCATCATTGACAAGGGAGAACCACGCCGGAAAATCTGAATGAACTTTCTCGGCCAATGCAGGGATCGAACACCCGACCTCCAAGCTAGCGATTCAGCGTCTTACCCACTTAGCCACGTGACCCCCCCCCCCCCCTCACACTATATGAAAAGACCTGATAGCATCACCACGATTACCCCACGATGTCATTCGTAGTGAGAATCGTGATAGTGTGAACCTAGCATAAGGCTGAAATTTCAGAGTTGGAATTTGTCTACAGAAAATCGTACCAAGATCGGATTAAAGGACCTAGGAAAGGAGAAGAAGAAAAGGTTAGTATCGGCGATCTCTGCTAAAAATCTGTTAATATCGGGTTACTGTAATCACAGTACTTTTTATTTTGGCCTCAGTTTATTTGAAGCTTGAGATAATATTGACAATTAGAGGACCGAGACAATTAAATAAACCGACTGTCGCCGAGATAAAAAAAAAAGATATATCATTACAAAACGAATTATAAAAACATTTTCTTTAATTGGCATTCACATACCTGTATCATTTGTTTGATAAAGACGAGAGTATCCTGGTCGAAACGTCGCTTAGTATTAAACTCAGTAATTGTGTATGCATAAACTTGTATCTTGTGTTATAAAAACATTGCTTACTGAGCCAACTTCCTCAACTGAATAATGACTTAAAACAGTGGATTGGAAAGCGTTTCTGAGATACTTATCCCCAAATTAATAACAACAAAAATACTGTTTACTCAATAGAATAATGGCTTAAAACAGCGGACTGTAAAGCTTTTCTAATATACTTAGCCCAAAATTAATACTGACTAATTTCACAGTATCGAGTTAATGGAAGCAAAGATCACAGTGACTGTCACAGGATGTCTTAAGAGATGCTTAAGAAAAAAGGCGTTTTCTGAGTTTGTGACCACGACATTTTAACTTGGTCAGATAACCAAACAAATGTGTGGGTAACCAAAACCTATTAAAAATATTTCCGGGAATGTTCTGTATTACGGGTTTTGATTGGTTGGTTGGTTGATCCGGGATCCATCGAAAGCGCCCTATTAAATATGCCTTTAGGCCAAAATGAAGTGACGAATAAAACTTAAAGTTTGAAATATTCACCGATAAAACGTGGATCGGGTTTTTTGATGTCTCTGTGCTTCATAGTAATTAAATATTTCCCTTCCAATAAGTTGAACTTAAACATACATTATGCAAGAGCTAAATCTGCCTATTGTAGGTCTTTCTGTAGGCCCTAAATGTTTTCTGAATTATTAATTAGACATTAATTAACTTATCCAGGCCATAATCTCGATGGCATAGGATTTCTCTGATATTAAATAGATTAGAACAGTTCAGCCATATTTTGATTTAAGCTAAAAATGGAGGAGCGAGACTTAGCTTCGAACAACCAGTGCGGTGGTTGAAATTATTGCACATGTCTTGTCAAACCTTCAAAGGCTAATATCTTCGCTCGCAATAGAGTAAATTGAATGAAATTTTCAAATTATTCATTTTACATTATCTATTTTGGGACTATTATAGCAAGAATGACTAGCTCTTTATCTAAATCTTACATAATGTAGCTTTAAAGTGTGTGTGCGTAATTTGAAATTTTTGTTCCAATAATACCAACTTAAAATATCTATGTCCATCTTAAGTTGATATCAAAACGGGCAATAAAATCCGAAAACAACGAAGGGAAAGGAAAATGCCGGTTTTGCTAGAAATGTAAAAAATTACACATACATTATGCAAGAGATAAATCTGCGCTATTGCAGAAGGTCGTTCGTTAGGCCTGAAATGTTATCTAAACTATTAATTAGACATTAATCAACTTAACTAGACCATAATCACTATTTTTTTTATCTGTCCATATTATAATTAAATTAGAATACACATGTTCGAAATTATTAGTAAAATTATGATCAAAATATATCTTTAAAAATTATTTTACAGGGAGATGAAAGCTTATCAGTGGAATCAAATATACAATTAACTAAAGCTGTTCACCTTTTTATCAAACTTAGTCACAGATTTTAATTTCAGAATCAGTGCAAAATACACTTCCACATAACCTCTGTATATATGTTCTTTAAATCTAATAGTTGTGCATTCTTTAAAGATATTTTGTAAATAACATACCTCTATTTATTATACCTTTGTATCTATGGAAAGAGCTGATATAGGCTTCAAGCCTGTTGCTCAACCCCATTCGTTTGTGAATAAAATATTGTCTAAATCAAAATCAACTCTAAATGTCATCGCTAGCCTACGATATTTTCTAGATTAGAATCCGATCTGCTGCTCAACGCTCATTCATGATTAAATCAAAAACTGTATAAGCGAGACTATGTTTTTTTTTTATTGTACCGACTTTAGTAATGATGATCGAGGCTAGGCCTAAAATTCAATCGCTAAATTCTAGGTTCAGAGTGGATCAGCAAATTCCCTTTACATTATCTAGTTTGTAACTATTATAGTGAGAACACAAGATCTAGATTAGCAAGTAAGTCAGCAAGAAATACCAGGATGTTCAAGCCTACGAAAAGATGAGTCATCAACCTGCAAGTCAAGTGAAGCTAATTTAACTCTTTGTTCCGGAATCCGGAACAACTGAATTTAGAATCTAACAATACATTTATCATAATTGTCCTAAATACACAGACCCAAATATTTACGATTTGTTACCAAAAAAGGAATGAAATGAACTAAAGTGTGTTTTAATGTGATCCAAATAGCCGTAAAAAACACCTTGTAACAGTTTCGCTTTGACAAGCCAACACAACAC